GGGGTACTTAGACACAGACACTGGCTACCCAAAATGGGGGGACTACAAAGGCAAGAAGTGACTGGCTTACAAGCTTTCAATAGGGAACCTAGCTCCATAGGATACAGGGAAAGGTAGAACCTCCATTGAATTGTTTCCCACCTGTCTGGATGGTGTTGATAACAGGTGAGGGGGAAAGGACTCCTGTGGTTCATAGGGAATGATTGTTATCAGGTCTGACAGTGTGTGTTGGAAAGGTAAATGTATATGTTTGGTAATAAAAGGGGGGTAGTGGCTGATTTTGCAGTCCAGGAGCAGAGATCCCTGGAACCATCAAAGGAGAAAAGTGGGAGAGACCCTGTCCAGGGAGGCAGCGACACTAGGGATGGAGGCAGAGTTGATGACGTGGACAGAAGGAGCAGCTGGGGACTCTGGACTCAGGGAGGGAGAGGGGCTGTGGGCTGGTGGCCAGGGGGCAGGTGTGTAGGGTGTACCCTTTGGGTGTTTGATGATGCATGCAGGGGATTGTGATCATTGCAATGAAACAAAGTATGATAGGATGAATGTAAAGATAATGTTCACCCATGTAAAATAACACATAATTCACAATAAAAACTAAAAAAAACCCAGAATCTACAGCTTCCTAAAACCATGCAGTATGTAGGGAAATGAGTATTCTCAAATACAGTTTGGTGAGCGTACAAGTTGGAACAACCTAACAAGAGCTACCAGAAACACACAGCCAGCAGTCATGTCCATGAATATATCCTACAGATAGGAGTCCTGGTGTGGTGTTGTAGGATAAGCACTAGGCTGCTAACCACAAGACTGATGGTTCAAACCCACCAGGCACTCTTTGGGAACCCCTATACAGGGTTGCTATCACATCTGACTCGATGGCACTTACCAACAACATTCTACAGATACACTGACATGCTTACAAAATGACAGTGTACCATGTCTATTATGGCAGCATTGTTTGAATTGTAAGTGATAAGAAATGATCCAAATGTCCATCTCAAAAGAACTGGTTCAATGGAATGATGACCCAGGGTTTTCTCTACATATTCCTTTGGCAAGCTCTCCACAACAAACAGTTAACTGGGGACAGCAGAAATGAGAGTTGGCAGAGAACCAAAGAATGTATACAATATGTCAAAATTTACTGCCATGTGTGTAAAAACGGAAATAATTAAAATATGGCATTTTGTTTACATGTACAAGGAGGCTTCGAAAAGTTCATGGAAAATTTTCATTATCTTTTCATTCCATTCTTTCCAGGAATTATTTGAAATTACCTTGTGTATAAAGAAAGTCACAAAATATGTAAAAGTTGGTGTTCTAGCCAACAATGGGATGGGTGATCTCAGTAGAGAAGACTAAGGTGGGAGACACTTCTTATTCTGTCCTTATACTTTCTGATTTTTAAAAAAATATCAGAAATTTGATTATTCAAAAAATTAAACGTAATATAAAAGATTTAAAGATACAAAGTGAACTATCTTAATGGAACCTTAGAATCAGCTTTTATCAATCACATCAACAAAAGACACTAAGTATGATTTACTAATTCCCTTATATGAACTCAATCGGTTAAATATGCTATTTTGGATATGAAAGGAGAGTGAGTATGCAGAAGGAAAATGCCCAGCTCCTAGTAGCTTATTCCATTAAATATAGTTGAGCATTTTTGATTTTTAAATATCTCTGGCTTCAGAATGTCAAATTCTTATGAAATTTTAGCTGCATTGAAAAACTACTATGTGAATTTTGCTTTGCTCGTAGAAACCCTACATAGAGTCAAAACCGACTTGACAACACACAACAACAACAACAACAACAACAACATCTGCAATGCTACATCGCATCTCCTAGATACATTTTCCAAATATATCTTACAGGGAATAGTGAAGACTGGAAATTCCCCGGCCACTCTTTTATAAGGGAAGGAAGGGTTGAGCTTGGTTCTGAAGGAAATGACAGACACTCAGAATCCTTGATCAAGCAGGTTTTATAATCAGGGATTCGCTTTATCACATGACAATAAAATGTGTAATGTAATCTTTCTATTGAGCCTTAAATTTTGATGACATGGCAAACCATTCTGAGTCTAGTTCAATAAGGCTCTGGAAGCCTCTGAAAATTCCTATAATTTTATATACTAAAAACTCAGATAGCATTCTCTCTCACTTAAAAAACCCTGAGATGAAAGTTTTAAAACGTAGCACCACATTTCAATAGCAGTATATACCACATAATTCTAAAATGATGTACTTTCCTTGCTCAGTAAGCCCTGGGTATATTGTCAGTATTTTAAACACATACATATAAAAGTCAGGTTCTGCAGGAGCACTGGTTTGGTGCTGTGGGATAAGCACTGGAGTTCTGGTGTGGTGCTGTGGGTTAATGCGTCAGACTGCAAAGCTGTTTGAACTGCAAGGTCGGTGGTTCAAGCTCACCAGCTGCTCCTCAGAAACCCTATATAGGTCACTATAGGTCGGAATAACTCGACAGCACTTAACAAAAACAACAACAACTAACCACAAGGAAGGTGGTGGTTCCATGTGATAAGCTCCAGACTGAAAACCACAAAGGCCACGGTTCAAGGATGCCAGTAGGAGAAAGATGAGGTTTTATGTTCCTGCAAAGATTACAAAGCCTCAGAAACCCTATACAGGTCACTATGAGTCGAAACCAACTCGCTGGCACTTAACAACAATAACAACAAAAACGCTAAACACAAAGCTGGTGGTTCAAACCCACCAGCCGCTCACTGGAAATCCTATATAGTGCTGCTATGAGTCGGAACGACTCAACAACATTTAACAACAACACAGGATCCTGAGATTCCAACGAACAGCTCGAGAAGATAAAGTTTTATAATGAAAAGTGCAATGACCTAGAAGTAGAGAACCAAAAGGGGAAAACACACTTGTCATTTCTCAAGCTAAAAGAAATGAAGAACAAATCCAAACCTTGAGTTGCTATAGTGAATGATTCTAGGGGTCAAATATTGAACGACACAGGAAAGAGCAAAAGAAGACAGAAGGAATACACAGAATCACTGTACCAAAAAGACCTGGTCAATGTTGAACATTCCAGGAGATAGCATGTGGTCAAGAATAGATTGTCCTGAAGGAAGAAGTCCAGGCTGTGCTGGTGAAACACCAGGCTCCAGGAATTGACATACTACCAAGCGAGATGTCTCAACAAATAGATGCAATGCTAGAAACACTCACTCAGTTTACTAGGAAATTTGGAAGCTAGCCAACTAGAAGAGATTCATATCCATAACTATTCCTAAGAAACCTGATCCACAAGAATGTGGACGTTATCAAACAGGACCATTATTAATACCACATGCAAGTAAAGTTATGCTGAAGATAATTCAAACAGTTACAGTAGTAAACCTACAAGTACTGGAAATTCCAACTGGATTGACAAGACAACATGGATCTAGGGCTGCCATTGCTGCTATTGGATGAATCTCAGCTGAAAGCAAAAAATACCAGAAAGGTATGTGTGCTTTACTGCTATACAAAGGCATATGAAAACTGGACAATGAATAAGGAAGTTGAATGAATCAATGCCTTTGAATGACAGTGTTGGAGAAGAATGTTAAATATACCAAGGACTGCAGAAGAATGAGTGAATCTGTCTTAGAAGAAGTACAGCCAGAACGTTCCTGAGAAGCACGGATGACAAGACTTGGCTTATTGTACTTTGGACACGGTATCAAGAGACTCTAGTCCTTGGAGGACACCACGCTTGATAAAGTGGAAGAGCAGCAACAAAGCAGAAAACCTTCAATGAGAGCAAGTGACACAGAGGCTGCAACAATGTCAAACATAGCAACTAAGGGGAGGAAGGCTGAGGGTCAGGCCATGTTTCATTCTGTTGTGCACGGGGTTACTATGAATCGGAACTGACACAATGGCACCGAAGTGCAATAGCATAGGATTCTGAATCACAGCTGTTTTAACATGTTGTGTTTAAGGTCAAAAACTCTTTTCAGTACTCTTACATAAAAGACTGTTGGCAAAGGACTCCAATATCCGGAAGAAAATACTTAGGAAACCAGCTGAAGTGATTGAAATCGAGCTGTTAATTTATATATTTTGCTTAACATCAACAATCTATTGAAGATGTAAAAGAGACAGTTTGAAAATGGAATTGTCAATGTTACCAACTAACTTCTCTTTTTAGTACTCCATTCCCAACAAAGAGAAGGAAGAATCTAGAATGGAAAGCCACACTTGGATGCTGGTTTGGGGAAGCAATGTTGACAGTTTTAGCTGGATTCTGAGATAAATCCCTCACTCAGGACTCCTTTTAACGGCACTGGGAAACAGGAGATGGGGCTGAATCTGTTCAGAGTACATATGTAATATTTTTCTACAAATTGTGTAAGCTGAAATATATAGCCCAATAACCTAAAAGAGTATTTAATGAGGCTAATTTAAAATAGAAACTGCTTAATATACTTAAAGTACATGATTCCTTTTAGTATTTTAATACATTGTAATTGAAGTGATTATCTGTTTACAAGCTAGTTTAAGAATAACACTGCCAACAGCAATGATGATTTGATGGAGTGGCACTTGCTGTTAAAACAGAAACAAAAGAGCTTAAGATAGAAACATCCATGCATGTGCCAACTAGAAAGATTAAATGATCGATAAAACCATTCTCCTAAATATGCCTCAACAAAACCGTAGAAGACTCACTTGAAAGATTTCACACGGAAAAGACACTGAACACGAAATGACTGACAAATTCTGCTGTTTCTAACCAGTAATGCCAGCAACTATGAAGCCAGCCACTCTTCTCACCTTTCAATCTCCAACATCCAAAAATAGATCCATAAATAAACATTTAGATTAGGGGATAGCTTGCATTTTCTGAAAATCCCATCTCCCCCCACCCCCCCCAAGAGCCTGATTTTGATAAAGGAGTTGGCAGGTTTCTACAAGCTCTGTCACGTGGGGGGAGCCACAGGGCTGGAGGGCAGGGGCGCTCACCTGCTGCTGCGGCTGGTACCTCTGCTGGGACTGGGCGCTCAGGTACTGTGCCTGAGGAGGGAGGTGCGGAGGCGGAGGCTGCTGGTTGTAGTATGCCTGTTGGCCCTGTTGGCAGTAACCACTCACACCTTGCTGTCCATACTGAGGTGGCATCTGTTAAAAAGTCAAGCAAAGCAAAGGAGAAAGTCAAAATGCGCCATGGAATGACATCAAACAGGGTTTCTCTTCAGTAACTCAGAGAGACGTGTGGTTGCTCCGTAGCTGCTCAGTGCTGAATCTGTTGCCCTCTCTTCCTTAGATGGCGGCCACACTACCTTCTATCCACATACTATCAATAAAGGCAAAAGAGCATTGGACTTTGTCTGGAAAACTCATCGAATGTATCAAAGAACCAAGTATTGATCACCTAATAGAAATCAAGGAATAAATTTTTTTTTAAATTTCCTAATACTGACAATAAATAAAAAGTAGCCTCTGCCAAGAAGGCCACTGAAGCAAGATGTTAAGCCCCTCCCTGCACAGGACTGCAAGTTGAGAGGAACTCCAGTAGGTCACCGGGTGAAAGCGCTCCCTGGGATTTTGTAGGAAGCTTGCTGTTTGGGGGCCCACAAACAGAGCAGGTTGGGTCTCATCTCAAGCAACAATTAAGGCTAGGACCGCCCAGTTACATCCGCAGCAAACACGTACTAGTGCGCCATTAGCAAGTCCATTTACTAATTACTTGTTGCTAGAAAGGAAACAATTTCTTAACAGTCAGATGAACCTCCCCTTAGAAGACAAGTGCAGTCAAACCATAAGATTCGTCAATATGAGTTCTAAAAGGAGAGACATTCATATTTGATTTAAGGATAACTTTGCCCGAGTTGGTAAAATAGATAATGTACCATAGTGGTTACAAATCAGGCTGACAATCTCAAGGTCAGCAGTTCGAAACTATCAGCAGATCTGTGGGAGAAAGATGAGTTTTTTTCCACTCCCATAGAGAGTTACAGCTTTGAAAACCCAATGCAGGGTCGCTATGACTCCATGGCACATAACCACCAACCACCATAAATATAAAGCTGTGTGCTGCCGATTCCTTCTCAGAGAGAGAACTACCCCATAGGGTTTCCTAGACTGAAGTCCTTACAGAAGCAGGTCTCTAGAGCTCTTCTCCCTCAAACTATGGGTGGGCTTGAACCACTGATCTTGCAGTCAGCAGCCCCAGCTAACTGTCACCAAGGCAGCAAACATCAGATTATTAGACAAAAGTGACCTAGATCTGTCTTCTCCCTCACTAATTTACATGATCCTAAAAGTCCTTGAAAGCACTGTTCAAAGCAGAATCTTTCCTTGTGCTTATTAATAAATGTGCCATTAACAATATTTAAATCTTTTGAATGAGAAATCTACTGATGTGTTCTCCAATTGGGAGACTGAAAGTGGGGAAAAGAAAATACACAGGGCAATAGGGCAGCAAAAGGCACCCAAGGACGGTGAGCTCATTGTTAATACCACAACACGGTATGTTGAGGAACTCAAAGACCATGAGCCCCATAAACCCACACACTTAAGAAATCAGAGCGCAGTTCCAGATACACACTGAAAACCAAATTCATTACAGACCCCTGAGTCAGGAGGAAGCAAGGAAGGAACAGTAAGGGAGGAATCCATGAGGACACTGCATCTCAGAACAATTCGTACAGTGAATTGTAACATACACACAGAGGGAAAAGGGAAAAGGCAGAAATTCAAGTAGCTATTCCTTCTGACCCAATCTGCTAGCTATGATCAGGAGAAAACTGGTCCCCCTGGCTCACAAATGCCTCCCATCACACACAGTCTAAGATGGTGCAACAGACAGTTCATCCTGAAAACCATTTAACAGCACAGTTGAATTCTTTGCTTTTATTTATTTTACAGCTTGATATCGCATAATGAATGTATGTCCCTGCCTTAAGCCAAGACAAAGAATTTCCATAAAACACAACTCCACATGCTAGACTACCAAAGACTACCAAAACACATACCCTCTCCCGTTCAACACCCATATGTTTGATTTGATATCTAATACTATATTTCACACAAGTATCTTTGCAGTTTGCTTTGAAGCAGTTAGGATAACACTTTTACCAGTGTTAAAATCACTGCAAAGCTCAGTCAACAGAGCCAGCAGGCAACCCCCGCAACCCTGCCCCTGATCTGATGAGCTGCACTTTACTATGCTGACTTTTTGGTTTACAAAAACCCTTACACATAATATGAAAGTGTTGTTGGGGGGTGGGACTCCACTTCCTGACAAAGACAACAGGACACATTGCAGGAACCTACAAACACTAGAGCAGACATGAATTTTCCAAAATCTTGTACTCTAATACTCCAGCTCTGCCGGGGGAGAGGGTACAGGGTTGCCAACCTTCAGTGGAGTCATACCTTACACCATGTGTAGAACCAGGTACACCGCAGAAGGGAAGCTAGTACTATCAAGTAGGTTCCAACCTACAGCGACCCTGTATAGGGTTTCCAAGGAGAGGCTGGTGAGCTTGAACGTCTGACCTCGTGATTCAAGCAACTCTGCGGTCCAGCGCATTAACCCACAGCGCCACACCAGGAGTTCTAAGCTATCGGCTTCTACGATCCTCCTTATTCACTGTCCAGCTTTCACATCCATATCAGGCTATTGAAAACACAATGGCCTGGGTCAGGCGCACCTTAGTCCTCAAGCTGACATCTCTGCTCTTCAATACTTTAAAAAGTTCCTGTGCAGCAGATCTGCCCAGTGCAATACGTCGTCTGATCTCCTGACTGCTGCTTCCGCAAGTGTTGATAGTCGATCCAAGAAGAATGAAATCCTTGACAACTTCAATCTTTTCTCCATTGATAAGAATGTTGTTTATTGGTCCAGTGGTGAAATTTTTCGTTTTCTTGACATTGAGATGCAATCCATACCGAAGGCTGTGCTCTTTGATCTTCATAAGTAAATGTTTCAAGTCCTCTTCGCTTTCAGCAAGCAAGGTTGTACCATCAGCATATCGCAGGTTGTTAATGAGTCTTCCTCCAATCCTGACACCACGTTTTTCTTCATAGAACCCAGCTTCTTGTATTATTCGTTCAGCATACAGGGTGAATAAGTATGGTGAAAGAACACAACCTTGTCGCACACCTTTCCCAATTTTAAAACATTCAGTGTTCCCATGCTCTGTTCAAACAACTGCTTCTTGGTCTAGGTACAGATTTCTCAGTAGGAAGGCCCAAGGGACTGTCTGATGGGAGAGGCCACAAGCTTAATGCCTCAGGCTCTGTGAAAACAATTTTGGTTAATTAGTAGTCTTTTTGTTCATCCTGTAGTTCTTAGCCATTTCAAGAATTAAAGTAAGTAACTAGACCACTGGGTGCAGTGTCCTGGTGGTGCAACAGATAAGTGCTTGGCTTCCAACCAAATGTTGGGAGCTCAAACCCACTGGGTGGAAGAAAAATCAAATGATCTGCTCCCATAAAAATGGCAGCCTAGAAACCCTCTGGGGCAGTTCAACTCGGTCACATGGGTTTGCTATGAGCTGAAATCGACCCCACAGCACTTCACAGCAGCAACAGCACTGAGTGGACGTGACATGTGGACAACCATCACTGAGGAGCGTGAGGCCCATACTGAGAGCAGACTCCTTCCCTGTCCAGCCTACCGCAGCCACTCAGTCCCAACCACCACCATTCTCAGGCCCTTCATGTGTCCAAGTGCTTACTGCCATCTCTGTCCACCCACCTCCACAGTCACAGCGTGCCTGCAGTAAGGACCTGACCATCAGCCAATATCTGCTGAGTGAATGAAAGCTGAATGGATTACTCAAGTGAGTTAGATATTATATAAATGTTAAAATGAATTACGGAACCCTTTATAAAATCAGATTGCTGGCACCATGCAAAGCTTCGCTACACAAATGCTCAGCTTAACCTAGCGACCGCAGCATTGCACCTCGGAGCTCCGTGCCGGGCGCCATGAACCCTGGTACATCACTGTTGCCCAGCAAACACCCCATGCCTTTGTCACGCAGTAGAAATAATGAGAAGAATCTTTTGCAGCCCAACTACGTGAAATGGAAATCTGCAGATCAGAAATTCTCAGTTTGTTATTTAAAGACAAGAAAAGCAGCGCTTATTTCATCCACTTCTAAATCAAGAGGACCACAGCTTGGAGAATGAGCACACACCATCAGAGAAATGTTCTTTCAATTTTCAAAGCAATGCTGGAGAGGGACTGTGGCTAAGAAAGACCACTTGCTTTACGCAGTGCGGAGCTTGAACAGGAACTCGGGCCTTCTGCAGCTTGGTACATGTACAAAACTTCTGACACCTCGTCTCGTTTCACCAGACCCTCGACTTTCTGTTCACTGTAGAAGTGACGGATGGATCAAGGCTAATCGTCTCCTCCTTTTTTCTTTCATAAGACATTTCCAGAGAGCAGTTTCCCCATTAAATTTCACAATGCCAACAACCCAGCAAGCATCCTCGTAAGTACATTCGTGGGAGTCCCTAACGGTTGGCAATCCTGCTTTCCATCGCCAGGTAAGGGGGACAGGCTGGCTCAGCCTAGCACAGCAGGTAACCAAGAAACAGACTTCAGACCCAGGAGTACAAGGGGATCAGATCTGAAAAATGCAATTGTATGCAGAAAACAAAAGCAACAAAAGATTGTTGTTGCTAAATGCAATCAAGTCAGTTTTGACTCACAGCGATCCTGTACAGGGTTTGAACCACCAACCTTACAGTTTGCAGTCCAGTGCTTATCTTACAGCCCTGCATCAGGGCTTCAACAAGAGGCTACTGCAGTCTAAAACCATTCACATAAAGTTTTCTATACGCAATAGTAGCATATATAACCTTTTAATGTACATGTAGGAGCAGGCTCCAAAATTCATGGGAAATAAAAACACACATTATCTTTCAATTCCATTTTCCCACAAACTTTTTGAAGTCCCATAGTACTCATATAATGGAGTCCTAGTATGGTGCTGCAGGATAAGCACTAGACTGTTAAATACAAGGTCAGCGGTTCAAACCCACCAGCCTCTTCTTGACAATCCTATACAAGGTCACTATGAGTCTGAACCAACACAATGACACTTTACAACAGCAGTAGTCATATATAGTGAAAGTACAACAACATGCTCTGATAGGAC